CCCCAAAACCCCAAAACCCCAAAACCCCGAGTGGAGTTACCGAGATTGAACAATGAAATTTCTATATTAATCTGATAGAGGACCTGGATAAGTATCTGCAACCTCACCTACCTCCAGTCCCACCTCTTCCAAAACCCCCTTAACTTCCTCTCTACTCAACCCACAATGTCCCACCTCAAGTATCTGTACAGAGTCCTTCAGTCCTGACTCAGAGATTGCCTGAAGGATGTCTTTCAGCTTAGAGGGGGTGGACTTCCAGTCGTTTCTACTGACGTGGCCACAGTACTGGAGGCCTAAGTATTGGATGGAGGAGTGGAGGCAGGTGAAGGAGGGAGGGGAGGGGAAGGAGAGAGTTGAGTAGTTGAGGGTTAGGCGAGAGGCGGTGCAGGTGTTGATGATGTACTAAAAAGTCTTCTTCCAAATCCCAAACGAAATGGACCAATCTTCCCAAATGCTTACCTCAAATTCTTGCTTGGTTAGGTCAAAGTCAAAAAGATAGATCTCTCTGGTGACTCTGGGGATTATATGCTTCATTTCGTCAAAATAATAGCTAAGTTTTGTCTGACTAGCAGCAGAAGCTCTACCCAAATTATAACAGAAGAGTTCGACCTGGTCTGGGAAGCAATGTTTGAAGAACTCCTTGACAACTGGGTCTTCCTTCTTGTCCTGGGCTAGCTTTATTCTTTTTATATCTGGAAGTTTTATTTTATGATTGACCAGTTCAGTTAGAAAGTTCTTGTCTTCTTGTTGATTCATGAACAACTCGATCTTTGTATTTTCATCAAAGATCATATCTTGGCAATGGTTTTTCTTCCAGATATCTTGACAAGAAAGAGGAGGCTCTTTTTGTAAAGTCTCCTGAAGCTGTGTCAACTCTGCCAAGCTATTCTTAAATTCTAAAGACAATTAATTCAGTTTCAAATATTCGTAGGGTGGGTACTCTTTCATATCATTTTTAGAAGATTCATAATATGTTAAAATACCATTATGGGAATTTTTAAAAGAAGAGCTTTAGAATTTTACCTTCTTCAGCCTTTTCTTTAGCTTTCCTCAGTTGCTCAATTTCAGACTTTTGCTCTTCAATTTTAGTTTTAAGAGCATCTATTTCGGTGGTTTGTGTGGAACTGAGGCTATTTATGCTCTTCTGTCTATTGAAAGTTATTATCGTTCTGAAAGGGACAATATAGTAAGTACCTGTTGCTGAATTTCCCCGATTTGTTTCTTAAGTTCTTCAATATCTCTGGTTCGTGTGGCTTCAACCTCATGTCTGACATTCTGTTCAACCTCTCGTGAGACTTTTCTGAGAACCTGCTCAAATTTCTTTTTCTATGGTATCATTGGTATCTTGGTGAAATTGAGAAAAGTGATTAGAGGAAGGACCAGAAGCAAAAGAGAGAACACTTACCTCCTCTATTGCTTTATTCGAGCTCTCCTCTTCGATATCCTCCTTGATAGTGTTGTCTTCGAGTTGCTTGTTGAACATAAACTCTTTAAAAGCCGAGTAGATGTCAGTACTTCTGAATTTTGCATAAAATCTAATTTTGTTAAAATTTTACAAATATAAAGAAAGTTAAAATTTTTATCAGAATTTAGAAACAAGGTCTGTTGTTTAAGATTGAATATTTTTCAAGCATACAAATTTGCAAAATCTTGCATCCATTTACTTATAAAGTGCAGAGTTTTATTTTTAAGATTACAGACTTAAGAAAACTAAATTATTTTAGATCAGGCTTTCGAAGTTTGAATAAATTAAGAAAGTCACCAAGAAATGGTCAAGTTTAAGACATACTCCTCACATTTCTTCTTCAATTTGGTGAAATGAAGGAACTGGTCGTACTCGATCTTGCTACGGATTTCTTGCTTGATCTCTTCGAACTCTTGCTTCAAAGACTCCAAGTCTGCTTCAAAGTTGTTGATCAGATACCCAACGCTGTCGTAGGCTTTTCCGTATTGGGAGATCTGACACAGGCTGTTGTTCGCTGGAATCAGAGCATTCTTAAGCTGCTCAGATGTGATGAACTGCTCACATGGGCATTCAAAATGATGATATAATCGATGTAACTCACAGAGCACTTTCTCATGTTTGATGCAGAACACTTCTCTCGGTGCTCTACAATTGTCGTGCTCGCATCGATCTCTACATTTAGGATAGATTAAAATGTCTTTGAATATCTCCCAAATCTGACAATACTCACCTTTTATTTCTTCTTACAGAACTCATTAAAAATAATACTATAAATTTCAGCTCCAAATTTTACACCCGGGGTTTTGGGGTTTTGGGGTTTTGGGG